GCGGGGCCTTGTTTGGGTGGGGCTTTGGGAGTCTAGAGTCCCGAGCGCGGGCGGGAGGGCGGGGCGGGGGATGCGGGGGCAGAAGGCTGACGATTGCGCCGCGGAGGTCGGAGCCACAGCCGGGATCGGGCCCGCCGGCCGGAGCACGGTGCGGCAGGTAGGGCGCGGTGCCTGCCGCTCCGGGTCGTGGGGGGGTGTCGCGAGGTATCCGTCGTGGGGCTGCGGCGGGGGCGTGTGGGGAGCGCGGTAGCCAGAGCCTAGGGCTGGTGGCTGCGCCGGTCCGCGCCCCATGACCTTCTCTCTTCCCGCCGCCGCTCGGGGCCGCGACTCACCCAGGAAGGACCAGGCGGGAAATGTGTTCCCAACTCTTTCTGTGACACTGACTTTATGATCCACCTGTTTGTAATGACTCACACTGGGATGTGAGTGACTGGTAGCTTGAGGGTCTGAGGAGTCCCGGAGGACGGTGGAGGGACGCGAGAATGAGTCGGGGTGGGGACCGCGCGGGTCCCTGACCTAGTAGCGCAGCCTCCTGCTGCTCTCGACCTGATCCTGCAGCCACCTCGGCCACCTTGAGGGACCCTGAAAACTCCACTCCTCGCTGTGGCAACTGTACCTCAAGGTGGCCTTGACCAGTGGCTAGTGCTCCGTGGGGAAGGCTGGGTTACCTGGTGGGCGACTGCTCAGCTATGCAGCCTGGAGGGACTCAGCAAGTGTCACTTGCTCTCAAGAGGATGGTGACGCAGTAGGTGGCTGTGTACCCAGCAGCTAAGGCAAGGCTGAGGGGCTGTGTCCAGGGCTGGGGCAGGACATTGGATCTGGTCAGCTCTGCACAGGCTCCATGCCACAGGGCAGCCTTGTCCTGGCTGGCTCTGGCCCACAGAACCAAGCAGGGACTGGGCTCCTGCCTCTGCTAGATACCCAGCAGAGCCAGGGACACAGGGACAGGGGAGTTCCCTTCACTGCCCCATTCCTTTTCGGGCCCTTGGTCCTGTTTGGGGCATGTCCTGGCAGGGGCTGACCACATGGACTGGTCAATGGCCCCATCCAGGGCCATCTGGCAGGAGGTGTGCTGACAGGGCCCTGGACTTTGGGGCTATCCCTGGCCTACAAGGACAAGGATCGGTCCCCCAGAGAGGGGGGCCTGAGCAAGGAAGAAGGGGGCTCCTGGCTGCCCTGGCCCTTCCTGTTTACACAGACAGAAGACATGGGTGCTGAGTCAGCCCCTCTATCTCAGGTGGACACACACATGCAGGCCTGCAGATGGGGAGCCAGGGACCTTCGGGACAATGGCACCCATGGGGGCAGAAGGGTATCAGGGAGAGCAGGGGTCAGGCTGGGGTTCGGCTGGCTCCTGACTCCTGTGTAAGCAGAGGACTGCAAGCCACTTTCCACCTCGGGGTGGCTTTGAGTGACCTGGGGCTACTGGCAGCATTTTGTGGTTCTCAGGGCTGCTGTGTCCTGGCTGGGCAGCACTGGGGCCAGCTCTGCTTGGCCATGTGGAGGGGACAGGCCAGCCAGGCCTCCCAGTTCCCACCAGTGTCGTCCCACAGGCAGGGGCTCGAGCCCATCAGCAGTGGCCAGCTATGGGGACATCTTGGCACCTCCTGAGCTCTGTCCTGGAGAACACCATGGGTGTCTGTGGCAGCCCCTGCCTGTCTTTCACTGGCTGTCAGCCAATGGCTCTGTGGTAACCCCGGGTAGCTTGGCTGGCACTAGGCAGCCTGGGCAGAGAGGGGAAGTTTGCAGAGAGGAGGCATTGTCTCTGAGCTGGTGTAGACCACCACAGAAACAGGGACAAGGTGGTGCTGAGTGACCAGAGTGGCCCGTGGCTGCCTTGGCAGGGCCTGGAGACTGCCAGGGTGGGGCCTCTCCCCATTGGCCTTTGGGGCTCCTTGTGGTCCAGGTGTGGAGGTAGTCCCATGAAGGCTAAGGGCAGACAAGAAGCTGCAGAGTGACATGGTTGTGGCCCAGGGCTGACACCTCTCAACCCTTACTTTCTGTTCTGTAAAACTGGGTGATGGTAGCCCTTAGCCATACCACAGGACCTGGACTCAGGGCCAGCTCCCCCCACCCCACACACAATCCCATAAGCCCCAGAGGCAGCTCAGGAGTGGCTGGGTTTGGGGCCAGGGGCTGCATAGTGCTTGAGGTGGCAGGGCTCTTGGGGCGGGGCCCCAGGTGCCCAGCTGGCTCCCCCATCCTCCTGCTCTTCCCCACATGCTATGATTTCTGGGGTCCTAGCTCCAAGGCTTCTGGTGTGGTCCCCTGCCCCACTGGATCGCTGACCAAGGCCTACATGGGTGGCCATGGCTGGGCCAGTTATGTTGGATCAGCCTTGCCAGTTACTCTCCTGGATGGTAGGGCCTGGCCCCCTGGGGCAGTGGCCCAGGAAAGTCAACGGGCACCTCCTGCCATCCACACCTGAATTCCCTGCAGCCCAGTCTGATTCCTAGCAGTGCCCTTCTTTCCTCATGAATCAGATGTTTATTAGACCTGCTGAACTTCTGCAGGGTGGGGCAGGCGCTGGCCTACTCCAGCCCAGGGGGGAGGCAGGGTCTGGCCTGGGCCTGCCAGGCTGGCAAGGTGCTGGCCAAGGCGAGGGCTGTGCTCTTGCTGGTGGGACTGAGTCAGCTTCCTGGGCCGCTGTGTTCTCGGCCTGGGCAGCAGCCCACATTTGGGCAGCAGGGCCTCTTGTGCAATGGGGTTCAATCGGGTCCACATCATGGGACGGTCAGGACAGGAACGCCTCCTAGGAGAGCCCTGGAGACTGTGTCCAGGCTTGCACTGGGCATCCTGGCCCTTGACCCTTCCTGGGCTGGCAGCCCCATTTTGTGGAGTTCCTCTTGCCTGGGCGGAGGGGTGTTGCAATCTCGCAACACAGTTCCGTGGCAGTAGAGGGCCCTGTGTCTCCACGCTCTGGGCTGTCCCTGGGGCCTTGCCCTGTCCCAAGCCAGGTGCAGAGGACCGCTGAGGCCATGGCCCTCACTCTGCTGCCCCCAGCCAAGAGAGAGGAAGAGGTCAGGACTGGTCTGGGAGCCTCGAAGGCTGGGTGGACTTTGGCGGTGCTGGGTGAACCCCGCTTTAGGAAGCTGCTGCCCCCAGCCTCTGCCGAGTGGCGTGCTTCCTCCAAGCCCCCAGCCCAGCCTGTGGGCAGTGGGCATGGTGACCTGTGTGCCCCCATCCCCCTACCCCAGGGCACACAGTATAGCTGAACACCAAGCCTTGGGAGGAGCTGGGCACCCCCTGCTGTCCCGAAGCAGGTGGCCCTGGTGGGCTTGGCTGGGCTCCTCAATGCTGGGTGCTGCTCTCACCACCGTGTTTAACTCTCCTCTGATGTCGGGGGCAACCATGCTGCCCTCTTGAAAGCCAGCTGCCCACTTTGCAATTTCCCAGCACATCCCAGCAGGCCATTGTGCTGCGGCTCCAGCCTTGGCCTAGCTCAAGGGTCCCTTCTCCACCCTGTCCTGTCAGGTCTGGCTGCCAGCCGAGACAGGGACCTGTCCACTCTGGACCCAGGCTCGGTAATGTCTGTAACCAGCCGTACAGATTGGAAAAATGAGGCCCAGTGGGAAATGGAACTCCCAGGCCACCTGGGCGACTATACCCAAAGCCACAGCATTGCCTTTTCTGGGCCTGCTCTCCTGAAAGGTGTGCCAGGGCCAGAATTGGAGTCTGTCCAAGAAGCTGGCACCTAAGGTGGGTCCCAGTAGAAGGAAAGCAGGCTCTGGAACCCTGAGAGGACGGGGATGGGTGCTGACCCTCCGGGGGCTGGGCAGGGAGTGTTGGAGGTTGAGCCTTACAGGCAGGGTGGTGGTCCACTGGGTGTGTTGAGTGCAGCAGGGCAAAGGATGGGTCCCCTGGGCATGGGGCCATCACTTCTGTAGCTTGAAACCTGTAGGAGCACAGAAATGACCCCCTGGGGCTGGCCAGGCTCAGATGACTGCTCTGGGCCAGTGTCTCTCACACACAGGAAGTCTAGCTGCATGGGGAATATGAGGGTGGGAGGTGGGCTGTGTAGCAGGGACCCGCTTGAGAACTACTGTGTGGCTTCCCTGCTGACCAGAGTGAGTGACACCCAGGGATAGAGTCAGTCTGCAGCTGGACATGTGTCCCCCACAGTGTACCAATCTCGGGTCAGGACTCTACCCCACTGGTCACCTGCTCTTTGGGTTCCATCCCTCTCCACCTACGTAGTCCTGTCTGTATCCTGCCTGGGGCAGGGAGTGCTGCTCCGAGACCTCACCCTGCCAACCTGTGCCCAGCACTGCAGGCTGGGGCCCTTGGTCTGCACTGGCTCCTGGCCACACAGGGCTTGGGGCTCATCCAGGGTGGAGCCAGAGGGGCAGGAGGCTCTGGGGTAGTGCGCAAGAGCAGGACTAAAACAGCTTGCTGGGAGCCAGCTGAGGGGCTCGGAGAGTATGACAGCAGACTTTCCATTACTGGAGGATGTCACCAGGACAGTCAACTGCTGTGGCTGGTAATGGCTGTGCCCACTCGGGGACAGGAAGCAGTGGAGGGAGGAAGATGGTTGAGGAAGGCTCACTCTGCCCCTACTGGCCCCTTGGCCCTACCCCAGGGGTTCTGCCGGATGCCACGGTTCCTAAGTGGGCAGCTGTTCAGGGCTGGGCCACTCCAGGCCAAGGTCTAGTCCACCAAGAGGCAGGCTGCCAGCACGGAGTGTGAGGTGCCCGGCAGATGCCCCTCATGGGCTTCCTGGGCTGGGAGGAGGAAGAGGGCCAGCAGCAGCTGGGGTGTTTCCAGAGCTCATGTGGGTCTGGAAACACCCATGTCCCCTCCCCTGCCACCATGGAGCTGGATGGGGAGAAGCCACAGTGCAGGGTTACAGGGAGGCCCTGAGACCAGGAGAGAGACAGGGCTGCAGAGGCCTTTGGAGACAGGCAGGGAGGGATATGGTGAGGTTGGGGTGGCCTTGAACACTGGTGGTTTACCTGCTGCAGCCTGGTCCCTGCCCTCCATCCCTGTTTCTTTGCTGGTTTTTCTGTCTGCTGGTGGCAGGCTCCTGGAGTTGAGGGTAGGGCTGTCCCTAAAGTTCCCATGGGGAACTGCTGTCTGAAACTCCTGCCAGGAGCCTGGTGCTGAGCTCTGCTGACTCCGAGGCCGCCTCACCCTGTGTGTCCCAGGTGGGCTGAGCATAGATGGGGCAGCAAGGGATGACACAGCTGGCCAACAGGATGGAGGCCTCCCAAGGGAGCTGAGGCCAAGGTGGCAGGGGCCCCTGCTGGGTAGCCTGCCCCTCTGAGGAGGGGCCGGGCCTGGCAGCCCAACCC